CCACAATCTGCTGCCACGTGGACATGTATAGCAGCTGTCTCTTATACACATCTAGATGTGTATAAGAGACAGCACACACACACACACACACACAGAGCAAGCACATATCAGCAGGCTATCACTGCAGCCACCCTAAGGAGCCGACGATGCCCTATAGCTCTAGGGTACACCCACAAGTAGCCTACCTCATATGTGAATGGCCCAGTCAGTGTGTCAAGGTCATGTGTGCCGATGGCTACGAGAGTCCTCCTCCTGCCCACAGTCAACAACACATAAGGCAAAAATCAGAACTGCTTATCAGAACCATGTCACCCCGTTGATGTCAGACACTCTCATAAGATTGCATACCAGGAACAAACTTCTGCTAGCTCACTTGGTACACCAATGAACTGTCGTCCCAATACAGACCCCCCAAATTCTAATCCAGATGCAATCACATGAACAGAAACAAAACAATAATTCTAAATTACCCGGGGCCGATTCGTATTATTATTATTATTATTATTATTATTATTATTATTATTATTATTATTATTTATTTTAATTTTTTAACTCTCAACACATGTACCATATATTTTCAAACCGAAATCCTGAGGCCAGGGTCCTCCCAATTAAAACCGGAGTCACTCTGGCAGCATCAGCCAGTTTAGCTTACAGCCATCAGGCCTGAGACCGACCAATCAGATCTCTCAAGCGTCCAGGTAACAAAATTCTTCCTAACACAATTCAACAACTTCGACAAGGAACGCTAAACCAACATCCGAAAGCCAAACCAACTATCTTCATTTGAGTTCCCCACTGTAACGCCAACAATTCGTATAATGATCATATGCCAAGGCCAATTGCCCTTTAAAGAAAATACAAACAAAAAAACAAAAAAGAAAAAAAGAAAGAAAGAGAGAAAGAGAGAAAGAGAGAAGAGAAAAAAGAGGACTTTTGATCAAGTTGGCACCTTTTCCAAAGACGTGGTTGGCCAGATGCTTTTAATTTTTTAATTTTTGGGGGGAGGCTGGACAGAGCAGTCAGTCTATCGTACCATCATTGTTTTTGATGCTGGATAACCGTTCCTCCCCCGATCCCCACTCCCCTCCTTCCCCCTTACAAATAGAGCGAACACGGCTCCCATAGAAATTATGTAATGGAAGTGGGATCTCGTACCCATACACTCACACTGGGCAGTTTCCAGAATGGACGTAACTCTAACTACGACTAGGTTCAGTTCAAAAATGTCCAGTGCTTGGATGCCCCCAAAAGTTCGAAAGTGGGTACATTATGTAGATTTGCCACATTTTACCGTGGGTAGATTTACAAGGTTTTACCAGAATGACAGTGGGTAGAAATAGCAGGGTTTACCGTGGGTAGATTATGTAGGCTCAAACTAACCCCAACTACGACTAGGTTCAGTTTGAAAGTCTCCAGTGCTTGGATGCCCGCAAAAGTTCGAAAGTAGGTACATTATGTAGATTTACCATATTTTACCGTGGGTAGATTTAGCAGGTTTTACCGTGGGTAGATTATGTAGGCTCTACCTAACCCTAACTACGACTAGGTTCAGTTCGAAAGTGTCCACTGCTTGTATGCCCCCAAAAGCTAGCTACTACAATTGAAGTCAGTCAGCCCTATCATCAACTCCTATGATAAAAAAAATGCTGAATGAGAGCATACAAGCACTGCAAACTTTTGAGCTGAACACAGGTGTAGTTAGGACCAGGTGCATTCTGGAAACTGCCCGCTGTGGGTGTGGTTCAAGTAATAGAACATAAAGGTCATTATGACGGCATTTGATGCACCTTTCAGGATGGATGCAGAGGTGATGACCATGTGTCCTATTGGGAAGAAGACGGTAGTCATGTTCAATGCCAGCATAGGATCTACGCGCCCCAAAGCTGAAGAAGATGAGGACCTTTCCTATATGGAAAGTGGCGAGATCGCTGCTTGTTTCCAGTAGCTTCAGTCTCAGCCAAAGTGTCTGCGCCCAGGCCCATTCAGACAGTGGCCTGGGACCGAATAATTGCTTAGGAGAACCCAACCACCCAGTTCCCCAGTCCGGTCAAAGAAGGTGACCCGGGCCGCCCGGCTGGTACGCCCGGCCATTATATCTTGTACTTTTGAGAATTTTCAGTCGAGAATCTAGATGCAGAAATAATGACTGGGCCTTTATCCGGATGAAGACGATAGCCCCCTTTAAAACCTGCCAGGGGGGGGGGAGAGCAAAACAGAGTAAAAACTGCACAGCGAAAGTCAGTTTCAAGATTCAACTCCCCTCTGCTTTTTTTTTTTTTTCCATCAAAGCCTAACCTTACCACTGCGAGCCCCCCATTCAACCCCCCTTTTGCTTGTCCATCAAAGCCATCAAAATTAAGTCAAAGCCTAACCTGACCCCTCTGACCCCCTTTTGGTCTTCCATCAAAGCCATCAAAATGAAGTCGAAGCCTAACATGACCCCTAATAAGACCCAACCCCCCTCCCCTCCCTCTTCTCACCTGCACAGATTCTGATGTAGTCTCTCCTGGAGTTCAATGAAGCTGTTATACCGGGCTTGATCGAATGTAACGCCTCGGAGGATCGCCGCCACGACAAATGGACGAATCAACGCTGTCTGCACCAAAAAACAGAAGAAGGAATTTAAAAAAAAAAAAAAAAAAACACAGACGAGCACAAAAGAACTGTTAGAATCCCGCAGGATCCAACTAAATTGGCGCTAGTCCGCATCTTCGCATCGATTGCTGAACAACTCTTCGACGAGGGGCAATCAATTGCAAGAGTCGATCATCGAACAGGTAATCATATCGCACACATGCATCGAGCATCAATAGCAACAGCTATATCAACATATTAGTTTTTAATGAAAAAAAAGCATAAATACCAGCAGCTATACTTGCCAGAAGTCGGAACATAACCGTAAAAGGGAAAAAGAACAGGCCAAAGCATCAATAGCAACAGCTATATCAACATATTACTTTTTAACTAAAAATTAAAAAAAAAAAAAATCAATACCCAACTAGCTCAATCAGTGCAACCATGAGTTGTTGAGCTACAGATCCAGATGCAATCAGATCGACTGATTATTTATTAAAAAAAAGTTTAAAAAACAACAATAACAAAAAAAAACAGCAAACAGTCAGCATGAACAGCAGCAGTTTTAAATTAAAACTTGAGTGTAAAAAAAACAAAACGCAAAAAGCCTTGGCTATCTGGATCCAGACTTGCCTCGGGTTTGACGACCATCCGCTCAAGGGGTCGGCCAGAAACGTCTGCAAGGCGGAACTTGGGTACCTCTTCCTTCCCGCAGAATATTCTCAGCGATCGCGCCATTCCCTCCAGGCAAAGCAAATCGTACCTGTCTCAAGCCAGCCACAAGGAAACCGCAAAATTCGGCAAAAATCATTCAGACCACGATGTTATAAACTAGATTACCACGGTCGCCTGGCCTGACCCACCCGGCCGGGCAACCCGACTAGCACTGCCCGGGGGGTACCCGCCCAGGGTACCTGTTCATATCTACTGTTCTTGGGCCTTTTTTCCGTCCATCCATTCCAGTTCATATCTACTGTTCATGGGCCTTTTTTCGGTCCATGGGCCTTTTTTCAGTCCGGGCATCCCAACTCAAAAAACAGAGTGAAAATTTTTATTTATTTGTTTCCGTCCATGGGCCTTTGTTCCGTCCATCCATTCCTGTTCATATCTACTGTTCTTTTTTTTTTTTGCAGTCATCATCACCACTGGATGACCTGTTGCGGCTTCGCTCGCAAAAACAGATATGATGGGTGATGCATTCATGGTGTAGGCACCTGCCCAATGCAATCTCTCTCTCTCTCTCTCTCTCTCTCTCTCTCTCTCTCTCTCTCTCTCTCTCTCCCCCGCATGCATGGTTGCTGATCTTTCTGGAGCCTATCATCAACATCAAGCGGAATGATCGGAGAATCATCAGAGGAGGACGAGGAAGGGGAGGAGAAGGAGGAAGAGGAAGCAGAAGAACTAAGAAAACAAAATCGCTGATCTCGATCATTGAAATTATCCTTAGAGGAGGAGGAGAAGGATAAGGAGGATGGAAAGAGCCTGGACGACCACGCCTGTAGGCGACCACCTATTGGGAGAGATTGCAACACATGTCGGGTGGGCATTTGCGCCCGTAATCCCATCATCATCACCGCTCCGGCGATCCCATCATCATCACCAGCCAGGAGTCTGATTGCCTTCCTGGAAACATCTATGGCCACAATCTGCTGCCACGTGGACATGTATAGCAGTGTTCGAATAAGACAGATTCTCCACAAAAGCTGATGCGGATCCGTCCTCTCTCTCTCTCTCTCTCTCTCTCTCTCTCTCTCTCTCTCTCTCTCTCTCTCTCTCTCTC